ACACATAATGGCAGGATGTTCAGCCCTATCAGAATCTGCCTACCTAGTTCGCCATAACCAAGTTGCAAAGTTAATACACCAACACCTGGCTTTGGCACATAATTTGATCGGTAAGGATACTTCTTATTACAAATACTCACCACAAGAGGTTCTCAAGTCTACTGATTATTTACTGTACTGGGACAGGCCTGTCTTGATCGACAAAACAGTAGATTTTAATCGCTCTGACCTGCTTCTCATCGATAAAAAAGAAAAAGCCGCTACCATTATTGATTTCGCCGTACCACTGTCTCATAATTTACGAAAAACTGAGATAGAAAAACGATGAAAATATGGGAACCTAGGCTTAGAGATTAAGCGTTTATGGTTATCTAAATTTACAATATACCTTATTGTTATATCAACCGAGGGGATAACAAAAACGACCTCACAGATACTTCAAGGCCCTTGGCATTCCTAGGAACATTCTCGTTGCCTGTCAGAGGGCGGTACAGCTGCAGACCTGCCACATCACCAGAAAATTCCTCAGTGGAAACTGATAAAAGGACTACGATGAATTTTGTTTCCCTTTAACAAAACTCAATCGTGACTGCGCCAGAGAATGAATACTCGTTCTTTTCTAACATAATAATAATAATAATAATAATAATGCACTTTGAAAAAAATATCCCAAAAAAGACATCAATTTATTATGATATGTAAGGTATAGTGGTTATTGAAAAGTAAATTCCTGCACATAAACTACTTATAAAACCTCACTCCATCTGTCTGGTACACATTCCTGCACATACAATGCTTATATAACTTCACTCAATCTGTCTGGTACACATTCCTGCACATACAATGCTTACATAACCTCACTCCATCTGTCTGGTACACATTCCTGCACATACAATGCTTACATAACCTCACTCCATCTGTCTGGTACACATTTCTGCACATACAATGCTTATATAACCTCACTCCATCTGTCTGGTACACATTCCTGCACATACAATGCTTATATAACCTCACTTCATCTGTCTGGTACACATTCCTGCACATACACTACTTCTATAACCTCACTCCATCTGTCTGGTACACATTGCTGCACATACACCACTTATATAATCTCCCTCCATCTGTCTGGTACACATTCCTGCACATACACTACTTCTATAACCTCACTCCATCTGTCTGGTACACATTGCTGCACATACACCACTTATATAATCTCCCTCCATCTGTCTGGTACACATTTTGTCTTCCACTTTCCATTCACAGATCAAGTTAAAATTTCGCACAATTATTTTTAGTCGATGACACTACATGAATCAATTTAAAAATTAACCATTAATCAATATGTGGTAATTAATTAATTTTGTTTCATAAAGAAAAAAGAGTTTAACATCGCATTATTGAGAGATATGTCAGTGATTTTATGGTTCCTCCCGCTCAGATAAGCTTAGTTTTTTAAAAAGTATTTTTACAAAGATTATATCAACTAACTCTGTCTGTCTGTCTGGTCAAAGGTTTGTACATCTTGTTTCTTCGCCACTCAATCTCGGAACAAGCTGAAATTTTGCACAATCATTTCTTTTACCTGACAAAACAAGAAATAGTTTTTAAAAAGAATAACCAATTACTTAATTATATATTGGTAATTAATTACTTTGTTCTTATCTCAAACAAGGGAAAGAAATTGTACTTGACTAAAGTGATGGTATAAGCTGAATTAGTCCCCTATATAGGTCGTCCCTTTAAAGTAAGTTTGAAAGTAACAATTGATAACTATACAATCTTCTTTTTTCATAAGTACTTCTCTAGCAGAGTGGTTAGTATGTCGGCTTGAGCCAAGAGTTCAAATTCAGGTCGTTACCCCCCCCCCCTTTTTAAAAATACTTTTAAAAAGCCATTATTGTAAAATTCAACCATAAATCCTTTTTTTTCTCTACCCCCCTAATTTCCCATTTTCCCAATTGGTCCAGACAAGTGGTAGGATCATAGCGTAGTGAGACAAGTGGTAGGATTATAGCGTAGTTTGACAAGTGATAGGATCATAGCGTAGTGAGACGAGTGATAGGATCATAGCATAGTGAGACAAGTGGTAGGATCATAGCGTAGTGAGACAAGTGGTAGGATCATAGCGTATTGAGACAAGTGGTAGGATCATAGCGTAGTGAGACAAGTGGTAGGATCATAGCGTAGTGAGACAAGTGATAGGATCATAGCGTAGTGAGACAAGTGATAAGATCATAGTGTACTGAGACAAGTGATAGGATCATAGCGTAGTGAGACAAGTGATAGGATCATAGCGTAGTGAGACAAGTGATAAGATCATAGTGTACTGAGACAAGTGATAGGATCATAGCGTAGTGAGACAAGTGATAGGATCATAGCGTACTGAGACAAGTGACAGGATCATAGCGCAGTGAGACAAGTGGAAGGATTATAGCGTAGTTTGACAAGTGGTAGGATCATCGCGTACTGAGACAAGTGGTAGGATCATCGCGTACTGAGACAAGTGGTAGGATCATAGCGTAGTGAGACAAGTGGTAGGATCATAGCGTAGTGAGACAAGTGATAGGATCATAGCGTAGTGAGAAAGCTAAAAGCACGAAATGGCGCTAAAAAAACTATCTGTTAAAATATTTCTAATCCATAGCACATATAACTTTTTTTTTTTGTCTAGAGCTATTACAAATTTAATGACATGACTGACCCAAATCCTAGTGAGACAAACTACTTTCCGTATAAAGCTTGTTGTGTATCTGAAAGTCTTTATTATGTTTTTCTTCTTTTTTTGTGTGGAGGGGGGTGGGGGGCTTATGCCTCTTTTTTGGTTATTCTGGCCTCATATCGTTTTGTTTGGTGGACACTTGATAATAATAGTTTCGGGGAAATTAAAGTCCTTGTTTTACAAATATCCATCTTAATTTCTATAAATTGTCTGTAATTAATAATTATTATTTTTTGTTATCACAGACGGACCGAGAGCACAGACACAATTGCGGCTGTTCCCTCTCCAGAGGTAAAAAAAACTAGAAAATTAGAAAAGTGAATATGAGAGTAGGATAAAGGAAATAAAGGGAGCAAATTAAATAAAAATATTTTAAAAGCTTTTGATATACAAGAAATGAAAGTACATATTATAACATCATTCCTAAAAAAGAGAAACTGAACTCAAATTCAAAAGCGACTGAAATCAAAAAGAGTTTTCAAACATAATGGTCAAAGGGGGACAATACCTGCTTTAAAATGTGCCCTTTTTTTTCTGGGCCATTTTTCTTTTTTCTATTTGTTAATCGCACATTATCGATAGCAATTTCAATACATAGTTAATAATGTTTATAAATAATATTCACGATTTTAATAAAGTCCTCAACTATTATTTTGGGAAAATAGAAATAAATAAATAAAACAAGCAAAAAAATAAATAATTAATTAAATTAAATAAGTTTATATTGAGTGAAGGGAGAGCACCATTCAATCGCAAATCCCTCAATCTAGCAAGGATTGTTTCCCATTTTTATATTTTAAAAAATCAATTTCCCCAAATTGATTAATTTATTGGTTAATTTTTTTAATTGATTCGTGAATTGAATGAATTATCATCGACAATTAATAATTGTGCAAAATTTCAACTTGATCCAAGAATTGGAAGTGGTAGAGATAAAAAGGGAAAAAGAATCCACCCAGACAGACAGTCGGAGTGAATTAATATAAACTTTCTACTGACATCCACCTGTAGTACTTTTCTCTTTCGAAAAAAAAATGTGCACTATATTATACATAGCTAGCACCGTTTTCATGTAGTATTGTAGTTCAGCAGTTAATATGTTTGTTTTATCTCTGTTCTATCGTCCGTCTGCGAAGTTCATCTCAGAAAAAAAAAAACTTTTATTACAATATAGACAAATTTAACTTGAAATGAGATAAAATAAATTCTTCGCGGTAGAACTTAATTAGATGTCGTCCTGTAGGGTGTGTCTTTTTGTTCAGTTACTGACATCAGCTAAAAATTTCTTCAGAGTCAAAACTTGGATGGTAGCTCGTCAGAAAGTAAATAATTTCACCATTGACTCAAAGCTAAAATTTTGAATAACGTTGACGTTAAAAGCGTCACGCTATTAACGCCAATGTGGTGGGTTCGATCCTCATACTGGTTAATGACAAACAAAATATAAATGTTGAGTTTATTAATTATGATGTTTTATAGGCATGACACGGAGTTGGTGTTACTTTTTCAATAACCAAGGGGAGATAGAAATGAGAGCACTATGTATAGCTATAATAAATGTAGGACATCTTGATCCGTCATTGTTACTATATAGTATAAATGTTATGGAAAGTGTGTGTTTCTATGGTGAAGAGGTTAGCGATTGGTTGTGAATGATGCACGATAGGTGGCATTGTCGTCAGCTTAGTTAAGACAGATGTCTCCAGAATGTGAGACCGAATAGACCTGTTATTGTAATGAGTTATAGATTTTGTTCAAGATATTATTACTGAGGCCTAGCACATCTCATTTCAAGTGGATTTTGTCTATAGTAGAATAAAAGTTAGATTTAGTTTTTTTGTTCACAAGGAAGTTACTTCAGTGATTTCTCCATGGATAACTGACACTATCACAGCAATTCTAATGGAAAAAACAAACTGCTGGGGGACACCTCAGTGGGTGTAATATCTCTGAACTAATAAAACTTCAAATAACTGAGTTCAGGACCCACCCCCCCCCCCCTCTAAAGCTTACTGAGCTCATGTACCATATTCAGCCTATATAGAGCTTGTTGAGCTCAGATACGGTATAGAGATTATTAGGTTCAGGTACATCCTAGACTTTAGTGGACTTGAAATTCACGAGCTTGTACTACTAAGATTTGATATAATTTGAAGAAGCCAAATTTAGAAAGATTTTAATGACATCCCAACAATCTGCCCATTATCAAGAGGAGACTACACAGTATGGTTTGAAGTATCTAATGATCCAGCATGACTAGAACAAAACTACACCACCACAGGTTGAAGGATTTCTTACATGTTTATTTGTGACATTGTTACCCAATTAGCTGGTAGAATAGTTTTCAGGTTACATTGACATGACAGCCATCTCCTCCTCAAACAGTTGGCAGCATCTTCACAACATCAGCACATAGAATTTCAATCACAAAACTTAACAGTGTAATACTAAACCTTAGCCAAAGAACATTTTCATTATAGAGTCTACAATAACAATACAAATATATTCACACTAGTTAAAACAAACAATTTACTAAATAGCAAAACAAAAGAGAGAGACCTATGTACACTATGAACAGACAACATAGTATGTCGGAGTAATGAGCAATCACATGACCATAAGTTACAATAGACAAGGTGTGGCTTCATTGGGTGTTTACAAAACAATTTCATCACAACAACAAACATATTGGTTTATATTACCAGTACAATACAATACATGATGTTTTTATAACATAATGACCTTTTCCCCCAAAATAAATATATAGCTACCAGAGTGAGTAGGATAATACCCTATAGCAAGCAGACATAATAAAAAAAAAAACAATTTCATGAACCCATATATTAAACTACAGGTACCATGTCTTATCAACTTTCCTGGCATTGCTTAATAAACAGTATGGACATAGTCAATAAATTACAAAGTTTGTAATAATATTTTATTTCTTTCACACCAATTGGTTAAGTCTATATTATCTTATCTTGGACAAATTTCCAAATGGATAATAAATATTATTATATTATATTACAGATAACCCTAACCATAACCCCTAACCCTAACCTCAAAGTTAGACAACTCCATTCACTGCTTCTCATTCAGTCAGTCAGAATGTTTCACTATTAACACAAACATGGCAAAAAAAAACAACACATCATTTATGTATGAATAAACCTTCTGTAGACACCCTCACAATAATGTAATACACATATTATGGCAGAAATTCATACTTAAACACACACTAGCACCCATCACCTGAAACACTAATGTTAAAATCGACACTTCCAAGTGGCTAATGGACAGAAACAGGAACCAGCAGAATCACAGTTATCTCCTTGCATGAACAAAATCAAATATAACATCAACAATCTTGAACATTAACAGAGAAGAGTTCTACACAATGTTGCATGATTGTAAATTAAATAAATTAAACAGAGATCTATAAATAGATATAAATACTGCCAATGTAGGTTAACACTACACCACAGCCTGAACATAGTCCCATTTTAAGAATCAAAATGTTCAATCAATACAAATGTGTTTCGTAAACAAATTAAAAATCTATTAAAAAAATGACATATCTGAAAAAAATCTGGCTGATGTGACAAACCCTCCATGTCAGCACTGACCTATAATTTAGTTGGATCAAATTATCCTCTTAGAAAACCAGGAATAAAAAAAATGTTGTATTGTATATACTACAATATATTAAACTTTTTCCGTATAAGATAAATGTTGTAACCACTTATTGTTAATATAAAAACTGTAGTGGATTTACCAAATTTTAGCTGTATTTACATCCATTTCATATTCAAACAAATTTCCCAAATAAAAAAAAAGGAAAGACAAGTTATCCTATTGTAAGAACAAAAACTATGGCAACACTACTGTGCAAGATAAAATCCACCTGTTTGTAATATAAACCACAATTAGCGCACAATGATTTTCATTATCTTTTTTTTTGTTTTGGTTTAGCAAAACAGCTCAGCAGAATTCTATGCATAATGTTTTTCCTGTTTGTTGAGCTTTTTGAAGTGTATTGAGCTTCTAGTAGATTGTTTCACAGCAATACTTACAGTACTATCATCAGTATCACAAGTAGGAATTTTGAAGACTTTAGTGAAAGATTAAAATGGAATTCATTCTTAGAGTTCATTAGGTATGCAGTACACAAACAAGACTTACAATGACTGCAATGTACTAGTCTAGGATAGTGTGATGATCTATGATAATGTGATAATCTATGATAATGTGATAATCTATGACAATGCATCTGAGCTTATCAAAAAGTTTGTGCTGATCAATGCAAATAACAACAATAATATTTGTATCACTCGCAGTATGACAATGGGACACGTAGTTAAACTTGATACTATTTCTGAAAGTAAATCTGGATGCCCTAACATTAAGAAGCAATAAGTAAACACGGATTTCTATGAGCTGGAATCAACTTTAGATGACAAATGAATGGGAGAATTGTTAATACAAAATAAACATGTACAAAAAAAGTTCAGATCTTGGCCTCTTAGTAATTCAAACTCACTTTTATAACAATAGCATACACTAATGAACACAATCTAAAATAGTATCCTGTAAATCTTGAGGATCATATTCATTGAACAAGGGAAACAATTCACTAAAAACTAAAGTAAAACTACTCAGTAGATTGTTATCAACTAAGGGGAAATGTTTTTTATGATCATTTTTTGAAGGTGTCTCAATCCTATAGGAGAAACTTTATCTTTATTGTTGGAATGCAAAATGACATTTTTTTCCCTTCATGATACCAAATTTGATATGGATACCAAATTTGACATGACGATCAAATGTGTTCCTCATACAACATAGGGCTTCTTTATGTTATACATATTGTCACACCATCTCTTTTTTTTTAAATTGTTTTCTTTTTTACAGCACTGAGAAACAAATAAACCATTCAAACATCTTGCTGTGACATAGTGTACCAAACTCTTGGTACATGATTGACTAAATGGGATGTAGTATACCAAAATCTTTGTACATAAGTAGATGGGTGATTAGTCTCTCTTCAATTTAATGTCATTGCTTTCAGAAGAAAAATATATAGACTCCTGAACAAGTTTTCAGACATTGATTTGCAAATTAAAACATGAAGAATAAATGAATCTCAGGAACAAAAATAGAACAATAATAACTGAAATAGTAGGCAGCATTAGCAACACTATCACAACAGAGGCATCTCTGGATTTGTAGAAATTTAGAGTCCATTTGTGAAACAAAAAAGATACAAAACAAGAGAACAAATAGATGACAACTAAACAACTCAAAATTATAACAAAAATAAATTTAACAGTTCAAAAAAAAAAAAAAACCAGAGTGACATTTACAATTTCATTTAAAATGATCTGCAAACTTTGCAAACAGTGGCATAGAATACTATAAATAGAATGATTCAGCACATATAAAGTGTTTCCAGATCATTTGTTCTTAGGTGTGCCTCCTAAGTAATTCAAATCTAAGAATGCTTTATTTCCAAAAGAAATTCAGTTCTAGATCCACTCTACAAATTCAAGCAAATCTGATTTAGAGCCCATTGGGACTCCTTCTGTCCCAGCCTGCTTGAAGCTGATAGGACAGACTTTTAACCTTCTTGAGATTACAATAAAGCTCATAGTAGAAACCTTGGATGTAAGCCTGGTGCATACAAATAGCAAGTGTATTTACATAGAGTGGTCATAAAAAAAACAACAGATTATTAGAATAAAAAAAACAATACAAAAAACCCTGTATTATAAATAAACATGGATAGACATACTGTTGGTTGTATTCATACTATAAGCTTAACAAATGAGAAATTAGTATTGTTAACAATGAGTGGACTAAACCATGTCAAAGCAATAGCATTAACAATAGCAATAACAATAAAATGAAAATAACAAAAAATATATAGATACTTTGGCCTAAGTATAAGATATTACACAATACAAAATAAATTATTTCAAAAGTTGAATTGCACATGAATAAGTTTATAAGTCTTAACAAAACAAAGGAATGTGTATTAAAAAAAAAGGGCTGAAAAAAAAACAAGAAAACAAAATAGTATTTTGTTTCAATGGGACTGATCATAAATAAGTTTACTTAGAGCTACATCTGTCAACTGACCTACTGGCACAAGCTAATGGAAATAGTCATACCTCTGACTGAAACTGTTGACACTCTGGAGGGTAACTAAGAAATAAGCATCACTTGAGTTTGAACTGAAATTTAGGACATAAACTGATCAATAATTACACAATTAAACTTTACCAAATAATTTTGGATCAGCTATATGTCCAGTTGGGAGCATTATCAAAGAAGGGATACAACTCTAGAGAACTATAAGAAACAGGACTTAGATACCTTTTTTATGACCTCAAAAAAATGGAAATACTACAAATACAAAAGTAAACAGTAAAAATTCTCTTGAATAACAAAAAACAACAATAACCAGGCATAACTAAGCCATAACAGCTAGTGTATAACTAAGCCATAAAAGTTAGTGTATAACTAAGCGATAAAAGTCACTAACAAAGGCATAACAACCATTGTATAACAAAGATGTAACAGCTACACTAAAGAGATGTCAGACCTAATGACAGATGGCCATGAGACTTGTCCCCAATGATTTACTTGTGTAATGAATTCAAACCTTTCCTCAAACCAAACGAACTGGTTTGAATATGGAAGACTTCTCAATCAACATGTTCTATTTTGTTTTTGTAAGACCCATTATCAAAACAAAGAAAAACTAAAAAACAAACTTTGGTATTGCACAAATCAGAAAGCTAAGCAGCATTATGGTGGTCCCTAGGAAGTTTTCAATAATATATATATTTATTTTGGTCTGAACTATCTAACAAGATTTTTTATTTTAATTATTAAAAACAAAAATGATTATTTTAAAAAATTGTTAATTAGTGCAAATTTGATGAACATTTAAATTTGCAAAGCTTTTTGTCTCTTGATTCAAACACCCAAATCAAACAATGAAAGGACATTATCCAATTCTAATTATCTGTATTGAATTCTAGGATCCAATCATTTTTTTAAAGCTTCAATAAAAGTTGGGGAAATGCTTTGACCATTAAAAAACAAAAAAGGTAAAATAAGTTACCATGTAGCTACTCAGTACATACACTGCATTCCTCATTAATCTTCGCACTCGAAGACAAGCTTTATTATTACATACACTACAAAATACAAATATGCATTCGTGTATCATTCAATATAACTTAATTTTTCTACCATAATTTTTCATACACATATATGGTAGATCCTTAACCTTAAATGGTGGGGGAGGCTAACTCAACCTGTCCAATGTCTACAGCTACCTCGCAGTTTCATCATCGCTATCCATCAAAGAATTTCTGTTACGGCTCAAGGATGTTTCTTCTGTATCTGATCTGTTGGTAGGAAAACAAATTAGGAATTATTATTAGGAACAAATTATTTCTGATATATTTATGCCCCTACCCTTAGAAGGCCTGTTTTCATTTACTTTAATGTTGATAGTTATTCTATACAGTTCAACTTCTTCTTCAGTCACTAAATG